GAAGCAGTGGTCATGAGCAAAATTTACCCACAGTTGATTTTATGCTGAGTTCACACTGTGTGGTTTTACTCAAAGTTTTCTCTCACCTACAGGTTTTGTGAGATTGTCAACAAATATTCAAACCGGTGTTCACTCAGATGAGTGACAGTCTCGCAGTGTGAGTCTTCAAAGACTCAATCTGAGATAAACACTGATGCACTCTGACACCCATCAGATATTTCACATTCTTAATATCTGGAGCAATCAAAATCCTACTGTGTGGAATCTGACTAAAAAATATTTTGGCAAGAAATAAGAGCCAATAGGAGAGCAAGATACAGAGCACAAGGATGTTCAGGAAGGAGTTTAGGCATACAACCAATAAGAGAGCAATAAGAGAGCAATGTAAAGATCAGAGGGATATTTGGGGAGGAGTTAAAGATCTACGGCCAATGAGAGAGCAACATACGAGGGCTGCAGAAAATTCGGGAAGGAGTTTAATCATACAGCCAATGAGGAATATGTTGTTTTAACTTGATGTCATTGATGACGTGCGGTATTCAAATTGAGGGCAGGAAGTAATTCTTCTACATCGGAACCGCTATCAAAACAATTTCTGTTTTATGTTGTGTATAATTGTTTAAATTGGCCAAACTAAGATATGCTGTATAGCTTTTATAGACATCCAGCTCATAAAGGGGAGAAAGTTCATGAAACTGGCTGAAAAATGGAAGGCAGCATGTAATAAACATTTTTTCAATACATCCATGTGTACAAACTTTTTTGAACGTGTTAATTCATTTAACAGCACCAATAAAGATTATATACAGGCCTAGCTATGTGTATAAATAGGTTAATGTGTTATATAAAAATCAGATACAAATACCACTACACTTACGAAATCCAGAAGAATATAAACATACCCTGCTATATAATTGCTTCAATGACATCTCTGTTTTACAATAATCCATGTCTTTACTGGCATTTCGGCAAAATAAACAACTGCAACATGAACATCGAGATGCACAGCAGCAGTGAATGTTTGTTGATGGTATGTTCATCAAAAGATCAAAAAAAAAAGCAAGCCCTGCAACAAAACTAAACACTTACTATTGTGTAGCACTTTCCCCCCTTACAAAATACATAAATAATAATGTAGACTATGCGTCCACACTTTTTTATGCTTTCATCTGTTATTTTGTGAAGCCTGGAAAATATCCGCATGGGGAAAAAACTATAGTAATTTATAGGGATGTAACGGTATTGTAAATACCGTCATACCGCAATATTAATTTTTTTCGATATTACCGAAGTCGCATGACTCGGTAAAACTATAGGTCTTCTGAGAAAATTTGCTCAGGCGAATGAAGCGAACGGGAGGTAGCGAAAACTACAATTCCCATCAGCCCATGCTTGACCATCATCCCTTGCGGTCTGTTGTTGCTACAGATCCAGTAATGCGGAAATGGAGTGTGCTGCTAGAAGCGGGGATGAAAAAGAGCTGTAAAACTCTAAAGCGGGTGTTGTCGCCGTGCGCGTACTGAATAGCGGTGTTGTCGCGCGCGTACTGAATAGCGGTATTGTCGCGCGAGTTCTTATCAGCTGTGTTGTCGCGCGCGTACTGAATAGCGGTGTTGTCGCGCAAGTTCTTATCAGCTGTGTTGTCGCGCGCGTACTGAATAGCGGTGTTGTCGCGCGCGTACTGAATAGCGGTGTTGTCGCACGAGTTCTTATCAGCTGTGTTGTCGCGCGTATACTGAATAGCGGTGTTGTCGCGCGAGTTCTTATCAGCTGTGTTGTCGCGCGAGTTCTTATCAGCTGTTTTGTCGCGCGAGTTCTTATCAGCTGTGTTGTCTCGCGAGTTCTTATCAGCTGTGTTGTCGCGCGCGTACTGAATAGTGGTGTTGTCAGCACACTGTTCAGATTGATGCTGACATGAGATCTCTATCTTACCCATGGTTTGTCCTCTCAAGTGGGGGAAAGGCAATGCACAACGTTACCCACTGCTGTCAACCTGGGCCAAGTCATATCTCTCTTGTCCCAGAAACCTCAGTCCCAAATGAGAGGGTTTTTTTTCTGTTGCAGAGGACATTGTAAATGCCCAGAGATACCAGCTTTTACCAGATTATATTTATATGATAATTTTCCTTTAAACCCATCTCTATCTAAGTTAGTGAGTGATTAAATGTTGAATGTGATGAGTTTTCAACAATACTAAATTAAAAACTTTATTTTTTTTTTACATGGTTTAATATTTTTTTGTTATTAAAATTGAAGTTCCTGTTTCAAAGCTTACAGATACATGGCTAATTTGTATGTCATTGACACTTTTGGCACTTTTTTGGAGTATTTTCATAAGTTTTGTTTTTTACTGTAAATGATTCAATAAATACCGTACCGTGACATTCATACCGAGGTATTACCGTACCGTGAAATTCTGATACCGTTACATCCCTAGTAATTTATAATAAACATGTTTTTGAACCACATAGTAAAGTACATAACGTGTACACCTCTTTGTTAATGAATGCTGCAGAATACTGTAGCATAGTAAACTGCAATAAATACTTTAACGTTAGTGTAAACCAGAGGTCACCAATCTCGGTCCTGGAGGGCCGGTGTCCTTGTAGGATTTAACTCCAACTTACCTTAACACACCTGCTTGGTTGTTTTAAGTATGCCTAGTAAGACCTTGATTAGATTGTTCAGGTGTGTTTGATTAGGGTTGGAGCTAAAATCTGCAGGACACCGGCCCTCCTGGAACAAGTTTGGTGACCACTGGTGTAAACTGTGGTGCATTGTGATGGTGTATCATTATGGTATAGAAAACTAAAGCCTACTGAATAATTTGTTTATTACTACAGTTGTTTTGTACCACAGTAACAATATAATTGCTGCAACATTGTAATTTAAGTAAATATGTAAAGCATATGCTTCCAAACACTATAGTATTTACTAAAGTATTTTTCATGCGACATCATTCGCTGCATTGATGACAGGCAAATAAATTTTAGTTCAGTGGAAAATTTGGTCTTCTTCATGATGTAAGGATCATGCCTAACATGTGGTTATTTTTAATTTATATCTCCTTTGAAATGTGGTAAAAGTGCGGATATTCCTCTATTTCCCCCATTTAGTATTTTACTTCCTGCCCTCCATCTGAATTTGGCGCATCCTCTGAGAAAACAATTGATAGTCGCCTAGCACCAATAGACGAAAAAGAAGCACCTAGAATCAAAGAAGAGCATAGAATCGCCAAGAGGCGACACTCAGCTGCACATATGCTAACGTTAAAGCTTCAAATAAAAGTGAAGCCATCAACAAAAGCCTGACTCCTACCAGGAGAGGTCATTTCTGGTGTGGCTATGTGAAAGGGGCTATTAGTACTTAGTATTGTTCTCCAGTGTTGTCTGTAAAAAAAAAAAAAGACTAAAAGTTTTTATTAAAAAAATATTTTCTCCAAAATGATTGAATTCTGACACATAAATTGATTTCATAGGCTACTGCAAGTTGTATATATACAGTACATACACACACTACTTTAACTTGTTCCCTTCGCCACCGTTCTTACCCCTGCGGCGGTGGTAGATGGTGCACCAGCAGCTTTTGACTGCTGGGTGAAGCTTAAGCACAGATTTTAAGCTTTGCCTATTCACTATACTAAATAGACGGTTCTGTATGTGTACCTTATGTGATGTCTTCAATTAAAATATAATTTTGTTTTACTTTTCTTAGTAATAAACTAAGTAATATATTTTACACTATACTATATGTTTTAGAAAAGATGCAATACCAGGTGAGAAGTATAACCCTAGGCTGCAAAAAGCAAATATAAGAATTACGTTCTTTAGCCTTTAAGTGCCCTATTAAACTGCGTTGGGGTGAAAAGAATGTTTCGATTTCTTTAAATTTCATGGCTATGTTATTAACTCAAGTCTTAAACATGTGCACACACTACAAAATAATATTACCAGTATATTAAATTATTATTATCATATTATTATCAGTAGTCTATATATATATATAAATATATAAATATATATATATATATATATATATATATATATATATATATATATATATATATATATATATTTTTTTTTTTTTTTTTTTACTACCAGATAATGTAGTTTTTGTTGTCTATACTCATTTTTGATTTATCCTAATTTGAATAAAACGAAAACAAAACAGTGATTAAGTTATTTTGTTAAGCTTTTATAATGAAACCAGATATTTTAGATATCAGATATATTTAACTTAGTCTTGTCGACATTTTGTAAATTGTCTGTTTAAATTGTTACTTTTCAAAGGTAATGTACTCATTTTAACTCATATTTAAGTACATTTTTTAATTCATTTTGTCTAACGTTCTACTGGAATTTTCATTCCAAAATGGCCACCCTGTAACACATAGTAGCATCTAGTGGCTGTTTCCCAAATAGCAACAAAGTGTCGCCTCTTGGTGATTCTAAGCTCGTTGTTAGCACTTTTTACGCGATTTTAGATGTAATATTTAAACAACCCCATGTATAGGGCTGTGAAATATTCACAGAGGAGTTAAAGCTCCACAGCCAATGAGAGAGCAATATACAGAGCTAGGGATATTCAGGGTAAAGTTAAAGCTCTACAGACATTGAGAGAGCAAGAAACAGGTCTGCGGATTATTCAAAGAGGAGTTATAGATCTACAGTCATTGAGAGAGCAAGATACAGGGCAGTGGGATATTCGAGGAAGACTTTTAGATCAACAGCCAATGAGAGAGCAATTTAAAGGGCAGAAGGAAGTTCAGAGAGGAGTTAATTTCTTATCATTTCTCACATGCGTTTGGGTGTGAAACATGAGTTTGAGGACCAGACAGACTTGCCGGCAAGTAAATTCATGCAGTGTGAAACCTCGTGATCTATCTGATCTACTATACAATTTGAATACAGCAGAAACTGAATACTACTCTAGAACCAACATTATGCAAATTTGGCTTTACAATGACCTTTGCTTGTTTAAGTGATAAAGGTGTGAGGTACCAGATGAAATCGGTGCAATGACTGCAGAAGGTGGGCTGCTTGAAGAAGCGGGCCGTAAACTGGTGGTCCTTCACCTCAATCACCCTTTTGTGCTTGAGAGCTCCTTTCCTCTGGAAGACTGGCAGTCTGGGTGGAGGAGACAGAGGGGACGGGAGGGGAGACGAGGACGGAGACGGAGACGATAGAGCCAGAGGAGACAGAGAAGGAGACGGAGACACCGGTGTGGACATGATCCCGGCTGGACTGAGCGGGACACCCTGAAGAAGAAGAGCAGCAGAGGGACGAGCACTTTCTGCAAGAGAAGGAGCAACAATAGGATTTATGAAAGGGAGAGAATAAATAAGGAAGTGTCTGGTAAAACACAGATCAAGTCTGTGAGTCTGAGGAAGGATTTCAGTGTGATGTGATGGCAGTTCAGATTGTGATGTTCAGGAAATGAAAGGAAGAGATTCCCAGGAGGAGGAGGAGAAACAGAGTGAAATGGAGGTTAATACACACTCTAAGAGAAACTTCCACAGGGACTTCAAAAAACGCATAGCGATTAGTGTACCTTCTGCCCTACTTCAAACACACACACATATGCATGCACGCACACACATAGACAGTGCATCTGGAAAGTATTCATTGCACTTCGCTTTTTCCACATTTTTATGTTATAGCCTTATTCCAAAATTGATTAAATCCATTAACTTCCTGAAAAGTCTACACACAATACCTCATAATGACAATGTGAACAAAATATTTTTTTAAATTGCAAATTTATTAAAAATAAAAAACCTGAAAAATCAAGCCTTTACTTAATACTTTGTTGATGCACCTTTGTTAGCAATTACAGCCTCAAGTCTTTTTGAATATGATGCCACAAGCTGGCACAACTGTCTTTCAGAATTTTTGCCCAGGTTGGATCAGGTTGGATGCCATTTTCAGATCTCTCCAGAGATGTTCAATAGGATTTAGATCTGGGCTCTGGCTGGGCCACTCAAGGACATTCACAAAGATGTTGTGAAGCCACTCCATTGATATTTTGGCAGTGTGCTTTGGGTCATTGTCCTCTTGGAAGATGAACCATCGCCCCAGTCTGAGATCAAGAGCACTCTGAAGCAGGTTTTCATTCAGGATGTCTCTGTACATTGCTGCTATCATCTTTCCCTCTATCCTGACTAGTCTTCCAGTTCCTGCTGCTGAAAAACATCCCCACAACATGATGCTGCCACCACCATGCTTCACTGTAGGGATGGTATTAGCCTGGTGATGAGCGGTACCTGGTTTTTTTCTTATGATCTGAGAGTCCTTCAGATGCCTTTTGGCAAACTCTAGGTGGGAAGTGGCTTTCATCTGGCCACTCTACCATACAGCCCTGATTGGTGGATTGCTGTACAGATGGTTGTCCTTCTGTAAGGTTCTCCTTACCCCACAGAAGTACGCTGGAGCTCAGACAGAGTGACCATCAGGTTATTGATCTCCTCCCTGACTAAGGCCCTTCTACCCTGATCCCTCAGCTTAGATGGCCGGTCAGCTCTGGGAAGAGTCCTGGTGGTTCTAAACATTTTCTACTTATGGATGATGGCCACTGTGCTCATTGGAACTTTCAGAGCAGCAGAAAGTTTTCTGTAACCTTCCCTAGGATTGTCTCAGGCACAAGGCTATCTTGGAGGTCTACAGACAATTCCTTTGTCTTCATGCTTGGCTTGTGCTTTGACATGGACTGTCAACCTTGGGACTTTATACAGAAAAATGTATGCCTTTTCAAATCATGCCTGAATTCACCAAACGTGAACTTCAATAAGGCTGCTGAAACATCTCAATAATGATGAATGGAAACAGAATGTACCTGAGCTCAATTTAGAGCTTCACGGCAAAGTCTGTGACTACTTATGTACATGTGACTTTTCAGGTTTTTCATTTTCAATAAATTTGCAACAGTTTCTAAAAATCTTTTTTCACATTGTCATTATGGGGTAGTGTGTGTAGAATTCTCAGAAAATAAATAATTTAATTCATTTTGTAAAATAAAAAAATAAAACGTGGAAAAATCTATCCATCCATCTATCCATCCATCCATCCATCCATCCATCCATATATATGCCTTACCCGGATTTCTTTCCAGAATTTGTAATCACATCACCCAACCTCATCAACCCATCCATAAACTTACACAATAAATCTTTATGATACTTGAATCTGATTGGCTGAGAGCTGTGCAACATTCTAGTATGTCAATGTTCCAGTCTCTTTACCCGTGTACTTCTGCTAGATGCTCACAACAAGTGTCATTGGTGGAGGACATAATATATGATCATGAACATAAAAACATAATTTAAATTACATCCAACATGAAAAAGCAATAAAAAAGCAATTCATCTGAGCATCTCTGTATGGATCTGACTCCATTTTTTAGCTTATTTGAGGTCAGCCAGAAGTGCAGTGCACTAGGATCGATCAGACCCACATTAATAAAAGAGACTGTTTCGAGAAAGCTGAAATGAATGATGACACAGAGGATCAAACAAACAAGACTTGACACTGAACAAATGACTGTCACATTAATTAAAGAGGAAAGCAACAGACCTGGAGACCCAAAAACAGAAACATGAAGGACTCGGGACATCCTCAGATGACAACAACAGCTGCACATATGAAAAACAAAGAAAGAAAAAAGAAAAAAAGAAAGAAAATCCAAATCAGCAAATACCTGTAAATATGGCAGTACCAGCTTCTTCCACACCTCTCTCTCTCTTCTTTCAATTCTTTTAGAGACTCTTGTTATTCTCCTCAATCAATTCGTTGGCTCATAAAAAAGTAAAATAAAAAGGTGGCAACCTCACAGAACACAGGATCTACAAAGCGGAAACCTGAAAAAAAAAAGAATCTCCAAAAAGGAAATCAAAGGAGGCAAGGAAGAAACAGCTGCTTTCCAGGAAAGACAGAAGAAGGAGGAGTGAACGGTCCTAAATTCCTTCATCCAATGGAGAGGATAGAGGGGGTGAAGAAAAGAGGCGATTTTCACTTTCCAAGATTGATTCTGTTTTTACCAACAGAAAGAGGGGATGTCATGAAGTGAGAGAGAGAAAGTGAGAGAGAGAGAGAGAGTGAGAGAGAAAGAGAGAGAGTGAAAGAGAGAGGGAAAAGGAGGGAGTAGATGAAGAGAAATAGGCAGCAATTCATTTTTGAAATCTGGGTTAACCCTCTCTGGAGAGTAAAGAGAGACAGATGATGAGGAAAGAGGACAGAGAGAGAGAGAAAGAGAGAGAGAGAGAGAGAATGAAGGAGATGTTGGTCTCTCGCTCCTCTGCTTCAGTGGAGTGTGTTGAAAGCTGAGGGAACTGATCAGTGATCAATAATCAGCTTGAGTCTGCATCTCTGCCAGTCTCGCTCTATTAAAAGGTTTTTGGGCAGACGGGCGTCTTGGCAGCTGGACTCCGAGGCCTGCACGGACTGCTCCAGTGAACCACAGAGAATGAGACAGCAAGATCAGTATTCCTGAAGAGAGAAGCACACAGAGTTATACAGCGCATTTCTGAAATCAGATTTGTTCATGTAGAATTCTGCCAGATTTCATTGAACAGTGGTGCATGTACCTACAATAGGGAAAAGAGCCAATTATGCGTAGTTATGTAAAATAACCGTGTAATTCTAAGTCTTAATCTGCAGTAAGTACAAGCTGTTAATTAATACTTAGTCACTCAATACTTAAATGTGCTTAATTACTCTCTAAGACACCTTAAAATAAAGTGTAACCTGGAGATTTCTAAAACTCTCTTAAATGATTTTTTAAGAAATCGATGCTTTGGTTTAACAAGGATGCACTAAATTGATCAGAAGATACAGATTATATTATTACTTATTACATTTTATGCATGGAAAATAAATAACCCAGGCTCATTGAGGGAATTTTTGAGAACTGAGAAATATGTACCTTCGGCTACATGTGCTTGCAGCTTTTGTTTTCACAATACCACTGTGTTAAAATTTAACAATCTCAAATACAGGGACATATTTTCTCATACATGACATTTTATTGTAAATCCACCAGAGGTCGCTGTGTACATTTCTGCCAATCTGAATGTCCGCGTGTGTCAGTGAGACATGCCAGTCATCTTGCTGTGCATAATATATCAGCTTGATATCGACTGACCCTACCTTCCCTAAACCCAACCAATAGTGTTTTAAAAAATAAGAGAAAAGCCATTGCTGTTGCGTGGTTTTACCATAATTTCATGCTGCTTTTATGGATTTTATTTTACCTGGATTCTGAAACAGTAATTTGCCTCAGTCGGACCCTAAAGCCCAATTCAAATTCTATTTTCGTACCCCTACCCCTTTCTCTTGGCCCTTAAAACAGAGTGTGAAGGGAAAAGGCTTCAAAATTTACAATTGCAAAATCGACAATGGCGACTGCTGTAGTTATTCCAGTTGTTATTTTTTGGTATTTATCTACAAGAAATCACTGAAGGCATAAAATATATTATCATAATGAGATAACGTGGCAATAAGATTGTTACTGTACTGTGCATATTCATCTATACAAAAACCACATTAACATTATACCAGACTCTGTAAATATGTAATTCTTAGCCAATAGACTTTTCTGACAGGGTATTCCAGTGTCATCGAGTGACAAATGTGAATGTTTGTTCTTGCTATGGATGAGTTATTACTATTGATTAAAAATAGCGAAATTTAGTGTTTTTTTTTTTACTGTTTTTTAAGCATGATGGTAAAACACGAACGTCGTTATGAATACATTAAAACATGTGCTTGCTTGTCATAAGCATTCGTAATAATGACAAAAAAATACTAATTTGTGCATGTCCTGACTTCTGTGTGCAGCCATGCCGCCGTTGTAGATGGTGTATTCTGGAAGTGTGGTCCAGAAAAATCTCAGTTTCGATGTCTATCTAGCCCTTCCTCTTAGCCCTACGCCTTCAAGCTAAGGAGAATTAGGAAACCCTTACCCCTTCACGTGAATGTGCAAAGCAATGGGTAGTGGTTAGGGGAAGAGCTAAGGAGAAGAATAGGGATTGGGCCTATGTTTGTTCTAATTCTGTTGCTGTTTATGGTGAGCTAAAAAGCAAACCAAGCACAAAAAGCAGTCCATACAGAGGTAAACGATACGTGGTACTGCTCCATAGTGTTTGTTTTACACAAAAAAGCAGCCATATGTACCCGCAAGAACATATTTCTCAGTTCTCGAAAAATGTAGCCCTGGGCACACATTCCCAATAAGCTTATGTTGAAAATAAAATATGGAAAAAATCTATAATAATTATAGTAAATACTCTTAAAAATTAAGAATCTCTACTGACATTGATGCTTCCATAAGAAACCTTTAAAATGTATAAAAATGTTTAGCAATTAAATTATTTATTGCAAAAACAAAATAGATTCTTTAGATGATTAAAATGTTGTTCACACCAAAAAAAAGATGTTTTAATCTAAATAATATATTTAAAAATCAAATAATCTCGATAAAAAATAAAAATTAAATTAAATTAAATTAAATTAAATTAAACAACCTTGACGTAAAAAATGACATACACTATATGAATAAAATGTAAAAAAAGAAATTTAATGTCAACTGACTACCTTGATGTAAAAATCATGTCAAATTGACAAAAAATAGCATCAAAAACAACATTGACGTCAAAAATCAATTTTCAAAAATCATGCTTGATGTCAGTTTGATGTCAATTTGAATAAACATAAATCTATACACTATATGAGCAATCAACATCTAAAGTCTTGCTTTCAATTTTGCTTCAATAAATAAAATATAACATACAGTATTAAGTGTGGATTTTAGCCCAGATCCGTCTTGAACACAATCCAAAAACTACACCATCATCCTAACACATCCAACACAAATAAATCTCCTTTTTTCTCTTACAGAGCCCTATCATGTCTCATCTCGCCTACAGCAAAAAAAGTGAAGCAGAAATGCCCCTGGTGCCCCCTGAAAACAAATAGGTGCATGAATCTCCATCACACAGGTGGACAGATGAAACACTCACAGCTGCATCTGAAAGCAGGTCACAGAGAGACACAGACAAGATGGCCGTCAGACACTGACATTAAAACAGCCCAGAAGACCAGAGGGAAGGGCGACGGTGTTATATTGGGACCAGGAACGGTGTTAGGACATAACACTGACCCACTAACATCCAGAGAACAGCAGCGGGACGCCGTCCATCAGGTGATGAGGAAAGGAGGAAGAGGAGAGGGAGAGCGAGTGAAAGGTTGAAGGTCTAATTATGTAAAATGTAGGTTGTTAGTCTCCTGATGGGGACACTGAGAGAAAATTAATTAACAATTATAATTAGCAAGATTGTTAGAGAGCAAAACGGTGTCATTGGACAGGTATGTGTATGGTGTGTGTGTGTGTGTGAGTGTCATTGAGAGAGAGAGTGTGTAGGTCAGCATGTTTTATATCTTAATTTCAGATAGAGGCACATGCTGGAGCAGTGATTTCAGAGCTTCGGTAAAGCCTGTGGTTATAAATCAGACAGTTTCATGTCTCTGTTATAGCATAATGCTTAATATACAGGCAGCTCTAGTGTGGTGTCGGCTCGGAAATTATGTTTTAATGGAAAGTTCACCATCAAATTGGCAGTTTTAACTGGACCTTATGAGAGTTTCTTTCTCTGTAGGACAGAAAAGGAGAATACTGAGGAATTGGACTTATCTCACATTTCCATGCAATTAATAATGAAAGTGTTTTACACTTCCAAAACATAAAAGAACCATATAAATATCATAACTTACATCTAAATTATGCCAGTGTCTAATATAATAAAACAATGATGTCTGTTGTCTAATATCTAAGTACAGTGCATCCAGAAACACACAATATCCCATAACGACCATGAGAAAAAATATTTTTTGGAAACTGTTGCAAATTTGTTAAAAATAAAAAACCTGAGAAATCACATGTACTTATGTATTCACAGCCTTTGCTCAATAATTTGTTGATGCTCCTTTGGCAGCAATTACAGCCTCAAGTCAATGATGCCACAAGCTTGGCACACCTGTCTTTGGAAATGTTTGCCCATTTCTCTTTGCAGTACCTCTCTAGCTCTATCAGGTTGGATGTCATTTTCAGATCTCTCCAGAGATGTTCAATTGGATTTTGGTCTGGGCTTTGGCTGGGCCACTCAGGGTCATTCACCAAATTGTTGTGAATTCACTCTATTCATATGTTGGGGGTGTGCTTTGGGTCATTGTCCTGCTGGAAGATGAACCGTTGCCCAGTCTGAGGTCAAGAGCACTCTGAAGCAGGTTTTTATTTGGGATGTCTCTGTACACTGCTTCATTCATCTTTCCTTCTATCCTGACTAGACTTCCAGTTCCTGCTGCTGAAAAACATCCCCACATGATGCTGCCACCACCATGATTCACTATAGGGATGGTATTAGCCTGCTGATGCACCTGGTTTTCTCCAGACATAATGCCTTGCATTCACTCCAAAGAATTCAATTTTAGTCTCATCAGACCAGAGAGTTTTTGTTTTTTATTATGGGCCTTTTGGCAAACTCCAGGCGAGGAGTGACTTCCGTCTGGCCACTCTACCATTCAGGCCTGATTGGTGGATTGCTGCACAGATGGTTGTCCTTCTGTAAGGTTCTCCTTTCTCCATAGAAGAACACTGGAGTTCAGACAGAGTGACCATCGGGTTATTAATGACCTTCCTGACAAAGGTCCTTCTCCCCCTATGTCTCAGCTTAGATGGACGGCCAGCTCTAGGAACAGTCCTGGTGGTTGCAAACATCTTTCACTTACGGATGATGGAGGCCACTGTGTTCATTGGAATTTTCATAGCAGCAGAATTTTTTTTCTGTAACCTTCCCCAGCCTTGTGCCATGGGACAATCCTGTCTTGGAGGTCTACAGACAACTCCTTTGTCTTCATGCTTAGTTTGTGCTGTGACATGCACTGTCAACCCTGGGATCTTATGGGGACAAAAAATGTCAAGGAAAATATGCAGAATCGAACTGATGCGCGAGCCAAGTATTGGGATGGGTGCCTCCCTAGTTTGGACACGCCCTCAATGCTTTTGCACCATGCGCTTTAGACTTTGCGACTAGA